GCACTTGTTCCACCGTTGGATTTGGAAGCACTTGAATTGTTAATTTCACAGTTCCACTGCTGGAGAGTAGTTTGCTTCAGGATTAATTGATTCTTGAGTCTTACTAATGTCTGATTCAGATGAGACTCTGGATTTTGGACTTCTGAGTTGATGCTAGAACTAGTTAAGGCTTTCAGGGCTACTGGTATAGAATGAGAGTATATTATATGTGAGAAGGACATGGGTTTTGGGGGGTAATGGAAGGAATTCTATCATTTGAATGTCCTTCTGAAACTAATGTTGAAATTTAAGTGCTGTTGAAACAGTGAAACAGATGTCAGACCTTTAAGAGGTGATTAGGTCATAAGCTCTGCTCTCATGAAGGGGTTAATGCTGTTATTGTGGGAATGGGTTAGTTATCATGCGAATAGGTTCTTGATAAAAACAATGATGCTTGAGCTCCATCCTCTTCCTATCTGGTGCTCACTTGCCCTGCTGCCTTCCTCCATGGGATGACATAGCACAAAATGCATGACCAGATGCTGGCACCATGCTCTTGGAATTTCCAGCCTCCAAAACCATAAGCCAAATAAACTTCTATTATTTATAAATTACCTAGTCTGTGGTATTCTGTTGTAACAGCAGCAAATAGACTAAGACACATGATACATTAATTTTTATCCTCATATGTAATTTACATGCATACAGTGAGATTACATGTACGCTTCTGTGTCTGACTTCTTCCTCTCAATATTGTATTGTGATTTCTTCATGTTGTTGCCTGCAGCAGCAATTTCTTTCATTTTTATTTCCGGTCTGCATCAATATAAAATATTTGCATTCATTCTTTTGTTGATATTTATTCTACCATTAAATGTTGATAGCATTTATTTCTAGTTTGCAACTATTGTGCTAATGCTGCTATGAAAATTCTTATATGTCATTTTTTAGGTTTATGCCTTGTCTAGAATTGCAGGACTATAAAATGCGTATCTTCAGCTTTAGCAGATACTACACTTTTCTAAAGTAGTTGACCTATTTACACTTGTACTAGCAGTGTATGTGAGAGTTGCAGTTGCTCCACGTCTTCATCCACAGTTGATATTGTCAGTTTTTAAAATTTTGTAGTTGAGTATGAAATGGCATCTGATTGAAGATATAATTTGTATTTTCATTTTGATTAATGAGGTTGAACACCTTTCAATTATGCTTATAGTCAATAAAATATATTCATTTTGTTCAAATCTTTCACTAATATTTCTATGGTGTCTAGTGTCTTTTTTATGGTAATACAAATTTTGTTCATACCATGGGTTTCAGTTCTTTATAACATATTTGTATTTCAAATATTCCTATTTATTCTGTGGCTGGAGTGTTCATCCTACTAATGGAGATTTTGAGGAACAGATTTTTTTAAATTTTAATGAAGTCCAATTTTCTATCTTTCCCTTTGTGATGAATTTTTTTCATGTTTTAAAAATATTTGCCTATCTCAAGGCCACAACAATTTTTTGGTGATATTTTCTAGAAGATGTATTGTGTTAAATTTCACATTTGGGTATAAAAATCATATATTTATGTATGTGAATTAGGGGTTAATGTTCTTTAATCCCCTTTAGTTATACCAGTCAGTCTAGCATCAGCCATTTAAAGCATCATCATATCTTGTTCACTGTCAGCTTGTTGTAAAGTGATCATATGTTTGTTCCTGAGCTTTATGTTTTATCAGTCTATTTATCACTGCTTGCACAGTACCATACTATTTTAAATGTACTAGCTCTGTATTAAGTTTGTATTCCTGGAAGGAATAAATCAACCTTGTTGTTTTAAAATCGTGTCTTTGCTATTTTTGGCCTTTTAGGTTTCCATAAACATTTTGAAATTGGCTTGTCAGTTTTTGCTACCCAACCCCCCCAAAAAAGTGTCTTGGGCTTTTAATGGAGATTGTATTGAATCTAAATTTTTGTAGCCTTAAAACATTTGAGGTAGGCAAATATTTTTAAAATATTAAATATTTTTATAAGTAAACCTGTTTCTTCTTTAGAAGAAATAGCATCTTTATAATACTGAGTTTACTAATCTATGGATATTCAATATTCCTTCATTTATTTGGGTCTTTGGTTCAAAGAGAGATTGTTCATTCTCTTTTGTCTTGGTCAGTCTTGCTAAGAAGTCAACATTTTATTTGTTTTTACAATTAATCAACTTTTGGACCTCCTTTGTTGTATGTCTGTTTTTATTTCATGGAAGTCTACTCATGTTGCTTTATTTGCTTTTTGACATATTTTGGAATATTTTCTTTCTCTTTTTTTTGCGACAGGGGATTATAATCATTAATTTTCGCTTTCTTGTTTTCTAATTTATGGATTTATATCTTAACATATTTCTTCAGCTGTTCTTCATGTTTTGATAAGTCACATTCAAATAATTTATTCTGAATATGTTGAAATTTTTATTTCAATAGGTTACTTATAAGTGTGTGGCTTAATTTCAAATCATTTGGGGATTTTCTAGCTATATCTTTTATTATTACATACTAGCTTAAGTTCTCTGTGGTCAGCAAATTTTCAGGATTATCATGAGATTTGCTTTATGGCATAATAAGCAATCACTTTTGGTAAATGTTCCATGCGTGATATGGTTTGGGTCTGTGTCCCCACCCAAATCTCATCTAGAATTGAAATCCATAGGTGTCGAGGGAGGGACCTGGTTGGGGGGTGATTGGATTAGAGGGGCAGTTTCCCTCATGCTGTTCTGATAGTCAGTGAGCTTTCATGAGGTTTGTTTGATAAGTACTTGGCATTTCCTCTGAGCTCTCTCTGTCTCTCCTGTCACCTTGTGAAGAGAGTGCCTTGATTCCCCTTCACCTTCCACAATGATTGTAAGTTTCCTGAGGCCTCCCCAGGCAAGCAGAACTGTGAGTCAATTAAAGCCTCTTTTGTTTATAAATTACCTGGTTTCAGGTAGTATCTTTATAGTAGTATGAGAATGGATTAATACAAGGCATATTTGAATCCAATGTGTTTTCTTCATTCATTGATGCTGTGTTTTAAACATGTAAATTAGAACATTTTGTTAATTATGGTATCTAACTCTTACTAATTTTTTGGTCTGTTTTTTTCCTCTCAGTTACTGACAGAGGTATGATAAAATCTCTGGCTGTAGTTATAGGTTTTCCTGTTTCTCCTATAATTCTGCCAGTTTTTGCTATGGATATTTTGGATCCACGTAATTAATTGCATACAGATTATGGAATAGTGTGTTTCTACTGAATCAACACTTTTTTATTGTGAAAAATATCTTTTTTCCCTGGCAATATCCTCTTACATTGAAGTCTAAGTTGTCACCTATTAGTATAGCTCTCTTGGTTTCTCTTAATTATGGATTTCATAGTGTACCTTTTTTCATCATTTTACTTTCAATCTTAATCTGTCTTTATGTTTTTCATTCTAGTATTAAAATCTTTAACTGGGTGTTTGACATGCATAATGAAAATACTAATTTATTTGTATTTTAATTTATCATATAATTTTTTTCTTCTTTGTTCCATCTCTTCTTTTTTCTTTCCTATTACTATCTTACCTTATATTTGTTGGATCAAGCATGTTTCAGTATTTGTTTCCCTATTAAGCTTGTTAGTTACACCCTCTTTTACTGTCCTAATTATTTCCTTAGCGGTAACAGTAAATATTACATTAGTACAATAAATGTACTAATTTAAGGTAGAATGTACCTTAATTTCCCATTTTGTAAAGTTTTTAGAACAAAACTCTTATTTCACATCTAACTTCTGCCCTATTTTTACCATGCATTGCAGTTACACATACTATGAAACTACTCAAGACAGATAAAAAGCGAACCAATTATTAACTGATTGTTTCTCAGCCCCAAACCCAACTCTGTTTGCTTGCTTTTCTAAAACTCAGGTGGCACCCTCTGAATGTTTTCCTTTGCCATCTGGAGTAAAGCTAGACTTTGTCAGTAGAGGACACCATGACGACAACAGAGAACAATAACAGCAAGGAGACACTCTTTCTGGCTGGGGTATTCCATGTTTTTAGTTAGCATGAATACCCTGCAAACCTTACAGACAAGTTTCAACCAGATCTTCAGGACTGGCTCTCTTCACCCTATGGCCATTTCCAAGTGCACCAATTGCGCTGTTTTGGCAGCTGTGGCTGAACCCATTTCTCCCCACCTCATTTCAGGTTTTGAGAAGGTCCACTGCACTGCTTGCCCAGCAGCTCTGGCCACACCTGCAGGCAACCACCTTTCCTCTTAGAGGGTTTTTTCCACATGTCAGCTCTAGCCTGCCCACACATCCCCGCCCTGGCCAGACAGTTCTAAAGATCATTCCTGGCCTGTTACCTCTGGCATCTTCCTTCACAGCTGTTAGGCAGCATTTGCTGTAGTAGTCATGCTCTCTTTGAAGAAGTCTGATCCAAGATGGCCAAATAGGAACAGCTCCAGAGTGCAGTTCCCAGGGAGAACAGTGCAGAGGGTGAGTGCTCACCGCATTTCCAAACAAGTTTTCACTACCCCCAGACCAGGAGATTCCCGGGTCAAAAGTACCAACAGTTTTCAGTGCAACAGCTTCAGCTGGTGCCACTTCAGCACACAGAAACTCACACAAATTTGGGCGGCCTTTTTGGCTGGTGCCTGGAACGCCTGGGAGACAGGGCCACCCATTCAACTGAAAGGGAGAAGGCTGAGACAGGGAGCCAGGGGATCTGACTCGGCGGGTACCACCTCCACAAAACAAGCAATCTGAAATGCTCTGGATTGAGAGTTTTACAGCAAGCACAGCTGGATCCAGGGCCATCCAGCTTAATGGGGGGAAGGGCATCTCCCACTACCAAGGCAGTCCTCCACTACTGAGGCAGTTCACACAGCAGCAGGGCAGAGCCTGCAGCAGCTCAGCAATGCCTCTGCTGGCAGACTGTGACTAGATTACTCCATGTGGGGAAGGGCATATATGAAAAAAGGCAGCAGTACAACAGGAACTCATAAATAAAGCCAACCTTCCTAGGACAGAGCACCTGGGAAAAGAGGCGGTTATGAGCTCAGCTGCAGCAGACTTAAAGGTACCTGTCCAGCAGCTCTGCATGGAACAGCAGAGCTCCCAGCACAGCACTTGAGCTCCTATAAGGAACAGACTGCCTCCTCAAGAAACTCCCCGACTCCCATATACCCAAAGAGACACCTCATAAAGGAGAGCTCAGGCCGACATCTGGCAGGTACCCTTCTGGGATGAGGATAGCAGAGGAAGAAACTGGTGGCAACCATTGCTGTTCTGCAGCCCCCGCAGGCAATCCCCAGGTGAGCAGGGTCTGGAGTGGATCTCCAGCAGTCCTGCAGCAGAGGGGCCAGACTGTTAGAAGGAAAACTAGAAGCAGAAAGAAATAGCTTCAACATCAACAAAAAGGACGTCCACTCAGAGACCCTATCTGAAAGTCACCAACTACAAAGACCACAGGTAGATAAATCCACGAAGATGGGATAAACCAGCACAAAAAGGATGAAAACACCAAAAACCAGAACACCTCTCCTCCTCCAAGGGATCACAACTCCTTACTAGCTAGGAATCAAAGATGGATAGAGAATGAATCAGATGAATCGACAGAAACAGGCTTCAGGAAGTGGGTAATAACAAACTTCTCAGAGCTAAAAGAACAGGTTCTAACCCAATGAACCCAATGCAAAGAAACTAAGAACCTTGAAAAAAGGTTAAATGAGATGCTAACCAGGATAAACAGCTTAGAGAAGAATATAAATGATTTGATGGAGCTGAAAAACACAGCACAAGAACTTCCAGGAAGTATACACAAGTTTCAACAGCCAAATCGACCAAGCAGAAGAAAGAATATCAGAGATTGAAGATCAACTCAATGAATTAAAATGAGAAGGCAAGAATAGAGAATAAAGAGAGAAAAGAAATGAACAAAGCCTCCAAGAAATATGGGATTATGTGAAAAGACCTAATCTACATGTGATAGGTGTACCTGAATGTGACAGACAGAATGAATCCAAGCTGGAAATACTCTTCAGGATATTATCCGGGAGAACTTCCCCAACCTAGCAAGGCAGGCCAATGTTGAAGTCCAGGAAATACAGAGAATGCCACAAAGATATTCCTTAAGAAGAGCAACCTCAAGGCACATAATCAACAGATTCACCAGGTTGAAATAAAGGAAAAAATGCTAAAGGCAGCCAAAGAGAAAGGTCGGGCTACCCACACAGGGAAGCCCATCAGACTCACAACGGATCTCTCAGCAGAAACCCAGAAGCCAGAAAAGAGTGGGGGCCAATATTCAACATCCTTAAAGAAAAGAACTTTCAACCTAGAATTTCATATCCAGCCAAACTAAACTTCATAAGTGAAGGAGAAATAAAATCCTTTATGGGAAAGCAATTGCTGAGAGACTTTGTCACCACCAGGCCTGCCTTACAAGAGCTCCTGAAAGAAGCCCTAAACATAGAAAGGAACAACCAGTACCAGCCACTCCAAAAATATACCAAATTGTAAAGACCATCAACACAATGAAGAAAATGTGTCAACTAATGGGCAGAACATCCAGCTAGCATCAAAACGGCAGGATCAAATTCACACATAATAATATTAACCTTAAATGTAAATGGACTAAAGACTCCAATCAAAAGACACAGACTGGCAAATTGGATAAAAAGTCAAAACCCATCAGTGTGCTGTATTCAGGAAACCCATCTCATGTGCACATACACACATAGGCTAAAAATAAAGGGATGGAGGAATATTTATCAAGCAAATAGAGAGAGAGAGAGAAAAAAAAAAAGCAGGAGATGCAACCCTAGTCTCTGATAAAATGGACTTTAAGCCAAGAATGATCAAAAGAGACAAAGAAGGGCATTGCATAATGGTAAAAGGATCAATGTATCAAGAAGAACTAATGATCCTAAACATATATAAACCCAATACAGGAGCACCCAGGTACATAAACCAAGTTTTTAACAACCTACAAAGAGACTTAGACTCCCACACAATAATAGTGGGAGACTTTTAACACTCCACTATCAATGTTAGATGGATCAATGAGACAGAAAATTAACAAGGATATCCAGGACTTGAACTCAGATCTGGACCAAGCAGACCTTGACATCTACAGAAATCTCCACCCCAAATCCACAGAATATACATTCTTCTCTGCACTGCATGGCACCTATTCTAAAATTGACCACATAATTGGAAGTGAATCACTCCTTAGCCAATGCAAAAGAACAGAAATCATAACAAACAGTCTCTCAGACCATAGTGCAATCAAATTAGAACCTGAATTAACAAACTAACTCAGAACTGCACAGCTTCATGGAAACCGAACAACCTGCTCCTGAATGTCGACTGGATAAACAATGAAATGAAGGCAGAAATAAAGATGTTCTTTGAAACCAATGAGAATGAACACACAACATACCAGAATCTGTGGGACACATTTAAAGCAGTGTCTAGAGGGAAATTTATAGCAATAAATGCCCACCAGAGAAGCAAGGAAAGTTCTAAAATCAACACCCTATCATCAAAATTGAAAGGGCTACAGGAGCAAGATAAAAAAAACTCGAAAGCTAGTAGAAGACAAGAAATAACTAAGATCAGAGCAGAACTGAAGAAGATAGAGACACAAAAAAATCTTCAAAAAATCAAGAAATCCAGGAATTAGTTTTTTGAAAAGATCAACAAAATAGACCACTAGCCAGATTAATAAAAAAGAAAAAGGAGAAGAATCAAATAGATGCAGTAAAAAACAATAAAGGGGATATCACCACTGACTCTACTGAAATACAGATTACAATCAGAGATTACTACAAACAATTCTATGCACATAAACCAGTAAACTTGGAGGAAATGGATAAATTCCTGGACACTTAGACCCTCCCAAGCCTAAACCAGGAAGAATTTGAAAACTTGAACAGACCAATAACAAGAGCTGAGGTTGAAGCACCAATTAATTGCCTACTAACCAAAAAAGCCCAGGTCCAGATGGGTTCACAGCTGAATTCTAACCAGACGTACAAAGAGGAGCTGGTACCAGTCCTTCTGAAACTATTCCAAACAATCCAAAAGAAAGGAATCCTTCTCAAATCATTTTATGAGACCAACATCATCCTGATACCAAAACCCAGCAGAGACTCAGCAAGAAAAGAAAACTTCAGGCCAATATCCATGATGAACATAGATGCAAAAATCTTCAATGAAATACTGGCAAACCAACTGCAACAGCACATCAAAAAGCTTATCCATCACAATCAAGTAGACTTCACCCTGGGGATGCAGGCTGGTTCAACATACACAAGTCTATAAACATAATCCACCACATAAACAGAACCAAAGACAAAAAACACATGATTATCTCAACAGATGCAGAGAAGTCATTCAACAAAATTCAACAGCCCTTTATACCAAAAGGAACATATCTCAAAGGAACATATCTCAAAATAATAAAAGCTATTTATGACAAACCTACAGCCAATAGCATACTGAATGGACAAAAACTGGAAGCATTCCCTTTGAATTCTGGCACTACACAAGGATGCCCTCTCTCACCACTTCTATTCAATATAGTATTGGAAGTTCTAGCAAGAGCAATTAGGCAAGGAAAAAAAAATAAAGGGTATTCAGTTAGGAAAAGTGGAAGCCAAATTATCTCTATTTGTCTCTTTAAGTCTTAGTTTATCCTTTTTAGTAGTTAGTTATCTTTGACATCTACAGTTCTTCACATCAGATTTTCTTTGTTCTAATAACTGGTTTGGTTTCTGTCTCCTGATTAATATACTCAAAATTTGTGTTTCCATAATTTAGCATTTCTGATGCTTTTCCTTCTGCATTTCTGCGATTCTATCTGAGAGCATTCTGTTTTTGTCTAAGAGTACTCTTTAGTGTTCTTTGTAGTGCATATCTGCTGATGATAAATTATTTCAACCTTTGTCTAAAACAATTTTATTTCACATTACTTAATAATTATAATTTTGCTTTGTGTAGAATCTGAGGTTAGCAGTTATTTCTCTTCAGTACTTTAACAGAACTATTTCTTGTTGGTTTTAACATTTCTATTGATGAGTCAACTGTCATTCCCATTGATGTTCCATTGAAAATAATGTGTCTTTCTGTTTGCTCTTATAGAAAAAGTTTTAGATTTCCTTTGTGTTTTTAAACAGATTTTACTATTGTGTGTCTAGAAATGGTCTTCTTCACACTTTTTTCTTCGAGTTTATAGAAATTCTTGAATCACACTGACTTGATATGTTTCATTAGTTTTGGCAAATTCTCAACCACTTTTTTTTTCCAAAATTAGTTTTTCCCCAGTTTCTTTTCCTCTTCCTTCTGTGACTCCAATTATATTAAATCTTTCAATCTTTACATGCCCCTTCCACTCGTGTAATTTTTTTTTGTCTGCACATCAATTTGCACACTTTTTATTGACCTGTCTTCTAATTTACTATTATTCTCTCCTGCAAGGTCTAATTAGTTGTTCAAATAAATATACCAGATATTGTATTTCCACTATTAATTTCTCATGGACAGTATTTTCATATATAAATATTTTTTTTACTTAGACAAGTTGCCTCCACATGTTCCTCTGTTTCTGTGAACACAATAACATGCTGTAAAGTTCTGTTCCATTAACTTCAGTATCTGGATCACACATGGATCTATTTCTATTGCAAACTTTCTTCATCATTTGCTCTTGCTTCCTGTTAATTGATTAAGCAGCAGAAGTTTTATAAAATTTACAAATATATACTTATGCATACCTTGCCTGAGTTTTTATTGTTTTATTTTTATAATTTTTGAAGTATTTTCAAAATAAAATATAGATTCTATATCTAAAGAAAAATAAAGTTTACTCTGACAGGAGTTTTTCTGCATGTCTATCTTATTATACAGCATAATTCTAGAACTACAGTTATAATTAAAGTCCTTGTTATAAACCACTACATATTTACTACTGGCCTTTTCAATTTATTCTGGTATCTTCTAATACCTTTCTATGGAAAAGTATGTGTAGCATATTTTAGGAAAGACTATACACAGGGAATATTGAATAAATACCATCTTTATTAAGGGAGTAGGCTGCATTTGGGAGAGATTTACTTTTTTCTTTATGCATTCATAAGATGAATATAGAACAAATAATTATTTTTTAAATGTAATGATTGCTATTAAAATGAAGAAGAATCTACCAAGCATTTAAAATTTTTATAGACCTTGTAAAATCAGTAACACATAGGTCACAGCTAGACATTTAATTTCTGGATATATGTCATCATCAGTTAATATTTTAAAGCCAGAGAATTTCATATTGAAAAAACGTTTGTGGAGAAAAAGCAGCTGTGTAGGTACATGACTGTGAGCAAAGACAGGGAAGAAAATTACATATGATACAGAGAAGAAAATTACATATAACAAAAGCTAATTTTCCAACTATTTTTATATTCCGCCATTGTGGATAAGTTATATTTGTATAAGTCATATCTAAATATAACATAACAAGTATGCTGAGAAAGGGTATTAAAATAGAATTGCCTGGGCCTGAGTGTTAACAAGCAACAGAGGCAGACTCCAAATTTCAGTCTGGAAAAGGTATTTTCTTCCTCTATTTTACTCCTATATCTGCGCCACCTCCTGTGGGTATAAATAAGAAGCATTTTTCATAAGCAATACTGTCTGCCTAGGTTAATTTGCCCTGGGACCACTGCTATATAATTTTGACACCTACTCTCTCCTATGGCCCAATACTCTAACAGTCATATTTACATAATAACTTATAGAGGTGTAACTACCCCAAATATCTCAGTTTTCAAACATTGGACATTGATCCATATGTCTTCAGTGATAATGAAATTGGATCTCCAGAGATCTCTATATTTTTAGTAACAATACTGTTAATTATGCAATGAGATACATATAAATGCAATCAATGTTCTTGTTTTCTATGTTCCACAAAATGGCTAAACAATTCTTTCACAAAATATGAGCTTATGTGTATGATGCTCCGTATTAACAAGATTGAGTGTCAGAATATTGTCTGCTAACTTTAGGACCTATAAAATGTTTAACTTTAATAAAAGGAAGAGTAAATAATTATGCAGTAGGAACTCAATATGGCTTGTTAAACAAATCTTTGATGTTGTTTATCAAAATTCAGTATAAAGCATTGAACACCATAGACTGAAGTTCCTGGATTTCAAGAGATATTTCAGTTGAAAAAACTATCACAATACAATTAGAGTTGTTTTATTTTATTAAAAATCACATTTGATATAAATTTTTCTCTAAGTTTAAGAAAACACAGGAAAATGACAAACCCCAAACACTTCATTTTTATATTTTAATTTTTGTTTTAAGTTCTGGGGTACATGTGCAGGTTTGTTACATAGGGAAACATGTGCCATGGTTGTTTGCTGCACCTATCAACCCATCACTTAGATATTAAGTCCAGCATGCATTAGCTATTTTCCAAATGCTCTCTCTCCCCTAATCCCAGTGCTCCCCTCCCTGTGTCAATGTGTTCTCATTGTTCAGCTCCCACTTATAAGTGAGAACATGCAGTGTTTGGTTTTCGGTTCCTGAGTTAGTTTGCTGAGGATAATGGCTTCCAGCTTCATCCATGTCCCTGAAAAGGACATGCATGTTCTTGTTCCATTTTATGGCTGCATAGAATTCTATGGTACATATGTTTCACATTTTCTTTATCCAGTCATCATTGATGGGCACTTAGATTAATTCTGTGTCTTTGCTCCTGTGAATAGTGCTGCAATGAACATACAATGATTTATATTCCTTTGAGTATATACCCAGTAATGGCATTGTGGGACAAATGGTAGTTCTGGTTCTTGATCTTAAAGGAATCACCACAACCTCTTCCACAATGTTTGGAGTTTACATTTACATTCCCACCAACAGTGTAAAAGCATTCCCGTTTCTCCACAACCTCACCAGCATCTGTTATTTATTGACTTTTTAATAATCACCATTCTAAGTGGCATAAGATGGTATCTCATTGTGTGGTTTTGTTTTGCATTATTTTAATGATCAGTGATGTTGAGCTTTTTTCATATTTGTTGGGCACAGACATGTCTTCTTTTAACAAGTGTATGTTCATGTCCTTTGCCCACTTTTTAATGGAGTCATTTGTTTGTTTCTGGTAAATTTGTTTAAGTTCCTTGTAGATTTTGTGTATTACACCTTCATCAGATGGATAGATTGCAAAAATTTTCTCCCATTCTGTAGGTTGCCTGTTTTCTCTGATGATAGTTTCTCTTGCTGTACAGAAGCTCTTTAGTTTAATTCCATTTGTCAATTTTGGCTTTTGTTGCAATTATCTTTGGTGATTTTGTCATGAAATCTTTGTCCATGCCTATGTCCTGAATGTTATTGCCTACATTTTATTCTTGGGGTTTTATACTTTTGGGTTTTACATTTAAGTCTTTATTTATCTTGATTTAATTTTTATAAGGTATAAGGAAGGGGTCCAGTTTCAGTGTTCTGCATATGGCTAGCCAGCTTTCCCTGCACCATTTATTAAATAGGAATCCTTTCCCCATTGCTGTGTTTGTCAGGTTTGTAAAGATCAAATGGCTGTAGATGTGTGGTCTTATTTCTGAGTTCTCTATTCTGTTCCATTCGCTTATGTGTCTGTCTTTGTACTAGCACAATGCTGTTTTGGTTACTGTTACCTTGAGTATAAGAAGAAGTCTGGTAGCATGATGCCTCCAGCTTTGTTCTTTTTGCATACGATTGTCTTGGCTATATGAGCTCTTATTGGGTTCCGTATGAATTTAAATTTTTTTTTTCTAATTCTGTGAAGAATGTCATTGGTAGTTTACTGGCTACAGCATTGAATCTATAAATTACTTTGGGCAGTATGGCCATTTTCATATTGATTCTTCCTCTCCATGAGCATAGAATATTTTTCCATTGGTTTGTGTCCTTTCAGATTTCTTTGAGCAGTGGTTTGTAGTTTTTCTTGAAGAGGCCCTTCACTTCCCTTGTTAGCCGTATTCCCAGCTATTTTATTCTTTTTGTAGCAGTTGTGAATGGAAGTTGATTCATGATTTAACTCTCTGCTTGCCTGTTGTTGGTGTACAGGAATGCTTGTGACTTTTTCCGCAATGATTTTGTATCCTGAGACTTTGCTGAATTTGCCTATCAGCTTAAGAAGGTTTTGGGCTGACAGGATGGGATTTTCTAAATATAGAATCATGTCATCTACAAACAAATACAATCTGACTTCCTCTGTTCCTATTTGAATGCCCTTTATTTCTTTCTCTTGCCTGATTTCCCTAGCCAGAAGTTCTAATACTATGTTGATTAGGAGTGGTGAGAGAAATCATCTTTATCTTGTGCTGGCAAAACACTTTATTTCAAATACTTCTGTTTAGATCTTCAGAAGTCATTTTCTGCTTACCAATACATTATTTTTTCTGTATTTGGCCAACAATCAAGCTTTCATTAGTTTTAAGAAATATATAGTTTATATTACAAAAGCATTGCAATGTTTCTGGAAAAAAATATTGATGACACTCTCAGTG